TTCTGTCAATATGGGGTGCTGTGTGTACATTAATGAGGAAAAAAATGAACTTAAATGATTTTAGCATATGGCTGCAATATAACAAAGAGTGAAAAATTTAAGGGGGTCTGAATACTTTTCGTACCCACTGTAAGTACGGCCTCAAAGAGCTGCTAGCATGGTTGTACACTTACAGTAATCAAGTTTCTGTATGGTAGGGAGTCAATGATTATTCAGTTAACCGATTAGCTGGTTGGTAGAAAAAGAATTTATGAATCTGATAATAGATGATTCAGGTAATTTATCAAGAAATAAATCATTTTATCATATAATTCATATGTGATTTCACTTTACCCGTGGTAGATAATATAAATATGGTGTCTTTGTGTTATTACTCAGAATTTTCAAATGGCTTCAGTAGGACTGTGTTCATCTTTCTTTGGCTTTCTAAAGCTGTGACTGGTGGTGGTGAAAGAAAAAGCCTGCAGGAGACCGCTGGCATTAAGAAACGATATTCCATATTTACCTATTCACAGTTTCTCAATGTCCTTCAAAGTAACAATGATATAAGTGTGGAAAATACCAGAGCTACTTTATGTTGACAAATTTGTCACTGAAAGCTTTATGTGGGATTTCACTGATGAAATGGCTAAGAGCAGTTACAGCCTGTCGAATACTTCTATCACACTTTAGCTTTGTTTACAGTTCCTGTATAGAAGCATTGCTCTTAGTTGAAGCATTGCCTGTAATTGGCTGTCTGTGGCAAGGGTCACCGCTGTTCAGAGAGATGGGTAGGAGCGAGAGGTCTGTCTATGGCTGCAGGCAGCTGGGACTGACTTGCTGTATCAGGTGGTTAAATTCAGGGCACAGATGAGCCCACTGGGACACGGATGCCTTTTGGATAGACCATTACAGAGGAGAATGAGCAGCCCTGAGTAGCTCAGCAGTTAGCCTGGTCTGGTCCCTGTTGCTTCCTTCACGCCTTCAGGTACTGATCAGCATCCTCTCCTCGAACCATCCTCTCCTCGAACCTTGGTCAGCATGGCAAAAGCACCTCTTTATGCCACTGGTGCTCTGCCAAAGTTTGATGGGCATTTTGACAGTGCTGTTTGATGAGTGGTAATATAACAGAAGAAATATAGCAACATTCACGACAGTGCTTTACATAAAAAAACTCAAATTAAACACTGCGCATATAAAAATAAAGAACACAATATACCCAAATTAATCAAATACAATAAAACAGCAAAAAATGCATAAAACACAATGCACCTTCAGCTAACATTAATACAAATTTCTTTTAAAAAGGCAGTTTATATTTATAAAAGTCCCTTCAAAAAGTCAGTTTTAATTTACTCATACACTTTCCTTTGGCAAGAGTATCAAAAGGTAAAAATACTGCTTTCCGATAAAATTTTTTTACACCAATGTGTAAACATACAGACTAGCGATTGGTCAGAGAAATCGCATCATCAACATGCGAGAGGTCCTGGAACAAAGAAAGCGCCATTTTTAAAAGCAATGTTATTTAATGCTAACCATGACATTACTGTAGTTACTGTACTAACTAAAAACAGCCACATACCAAGAATCAAGAACAGTACACCTTCGATGTTCTCCATTGTTACTGTGTCGGTTGCTGACGATGTCACAGCAGTGTAATGCGGTGTCGCTATGACAACCAGCTACACTGAAAGGGGAAGCCAATTTTTGCCTGTGACATGCATGCTTACATTACTTGTAAGACTCATTTAGCACAATACAGTGTAGCTACATAGCCACTGTGTGCATATTTAAAACCCCTTGACAGCAGAGTTTGAGTGGTAAATGTTACTTTCTACTGATGTTTAATTCTGTAATGACTCTAACCTCTTTAAACCAACAGGCCAACATACTGAGACACTGATGTTGGTAGGATGTCTACCTTGAGCCTCGAAGGACTCACAAAGCCAAGCACTTTAGGTTTTTGATCAAAAATATAATAACCACACTTTTTGAGCTTCTGGTTCATCATTCTCAAGGCAATGATCACCAGGTACAGAAAACAAACAGACTCCATATCAAATGACACCAAAGAAGCTGGTTTAAAATGGATATAAAAACCATTATATAGTTTTTCATCTTTGCTGCCTCTTTTTGTTAAATGTTGTGACAGTGTTAATATTCCCATTCATACAGCCCTCTGCATCTGTACTGGGAACAATGGTTCTTGCATTATAGACTGC